TTTTTTTTTTTTTTTTTTTTTTTTTTTTTTTTTTTTTTTTTTTTTTGCTTCTTCACTATCACCTTGAATTGCTGAAATAAGTGATTCTAAAGAATCAAAGTTCTTTTCTGATATGAGGTAGCCAACAATGGCCACATTGAGAATTTCGCCATGGAAGTCCTCTTTGAAGGTGTGTATTATGTGGATTTCCATGGACTTTGTCACATTCTTGTAGTATGGGTTCCATCCTATGCTCACCATTTTATGGATGGCTCCACTCCTGACACTGGCCCAACCAGAGTAAATGCCAGTGGATATATCAGCTGGAAGACTATCTAGTACTTGTTCCGGAAAATTGGCTGTGGGGATGTCCAGCTGCTTGGAGCCGCGGCCGAAGCCATGCACCACCTGGCCTAGGCAGAAGAACAGCAGGCTCCTCATGATACTAACCTCGGTGGACCCGGGCTGCTACTCGCTCCGCAGCGGCAGAGTAGCCTCTGTGAGTGCGTCACCTGGGCCCCAGGCCAGTCGGGGATCCTGCAGAAGCTGGGCTGGCGGAGTGGGACACCCACTGATACTGGTACCTGCAGGGAGAGCAGCCTGCACTACCAGAACTCAGAGGACGCTCTGCCCGTAACTATAATTCTTGATTAAGAACTATTTTGTTGTATATAATCTTGCAATGTTAAAGTCAAAACCTTCCTTGTTATTTAGACAGAAAAGGAGAGGTGATGTGGGTTTCCCCTCTGTATGGTGTGAATGCCGCTGGTTAATAAGGAAGCTGCTTTTGGCCTAATACAGCACAGAATAGAGCAAGGCGGGAATTCCAAGCAGAGACAGAGGAGAAAAAAGGCAGACCCAGGGAGAAACCATGTAGCCACCATAAGAAATAAACACTGGATAGAACCTTACTGGTAGATCACAACCATGTGGGGTTATACAGATTAATAGAAATGGCTTAATTTAAGATGTAAGAACTAGATGGAAATGCACTTACACTATTAGCCAGTTAGTATTGCAAAGAATATAGTTTCTGTGTTTATTTTGAGTCTGGGCAGCTAGGAACTGAACAAGCAACCTTCATCAACACATTCCTGCACCAAAAACACTAGAACATAGAGGTGAAGTCTCTATACAGGTACCAGTTTTACTTTGTATTCAATGACTAGCGTGTATGTTGTCCTTAGCTATTGAAGAGTGTCTAAGAATAAGAATATACAAATGTAGATTACAAAAATAAGGATGGAGAAATAAAGAAATACAAACTTGTAAGTCTAGGAGAATGAGAGCCGGCTGTCAGCAGCTTTCTCAGCAGCTGAAGAATTAACTATTAACAGTGGGTTACTTTGCTTTACAATCCATAGCCCTGTCCGCAAGACTGAAGCAGCCCTTTGCAAACTAAGGGTCACTCTGCAAACTGAAGGTCAGCTTTTAGATAACCCCTAGCCACTCAAGACCAGCAACTAATATGATCTGAGTTAACTTTTAAATAATGGGATGTACGTGAATTTTTTGGTTTTGCATTGTCCTATACCCTTCCCTGATACACAAAACTGACATTATCAGGGGAGTGTAGAGCTTTGGTAAATATCACCAGCAAGTACCAGAGAGAAGCAATGGGTTAAGTATAAACACGAGTTTAACTAAAAAAAAACAAACCCTGTTAATGAAAATTATGAAGAAAAGCAATTTGTATCTGAGTTTTACCTCAAGATTATAAAAATTCCTTTATTCATGCTATTGCTTGCTTCTTGCTATGAAAGGGGTGTTTGGAAAAGCCTATTGCCATAGCTATATGAGTCCATCTCTGGCTGTGGTCTCAGCTGGCTGATAAGCTTTTTGTGGCCCGTGGAGATTTTTTTTTAAATTTTTTAGTTATTTCCTGGAATAAAGTTTGCTTCTGGTTTAATAGGCTTTGGTGGTCTGTCTCCCATCTCTATGTGACCCCCAGTGGACCCAACAGAAATGTGCCACCACCCACAACTCTCAGCTTTCTTAAAGCAAAAAATTGTGTTACCAATAACCTTGGTTGTTTGTGTGATATGGAATTCCCCTCTGTATGCTGTGAATACCATTGGTTAATAAAGAAACTACTTTGAGCTTATAGCAGAGCAGGACAGAGTAGAACTAAGTGGGAAAAACTAAAATGTTGTGAAAAAGAAGGTGGACTCAGGGAGAAGCCATGTAGCCCTGCCAAAGACAGACATGGAAACTTTACCGGCTGAGCAACAGCTTCATTGCAATACACAGATTAATAGAAATGGGTTAAATTGAGATGAAAGACCTAGTCAATATGAAGCTAGAGCTAATGGGACAAACAGTGATTTAATTAATACAGGTTTGGTGTGGTTATTTCAGGCCTGAGCAACTGGAACAATCAAGCAGCATTCTTACAACATTTGTGATATCCATGGACCCACCTTATTCAACAACTGAACTGAATGCAATCCAGTCCTGCTATTAGAGGTCATGTTTGGTGACAAGTGATGGTCAATTTAGACTCATATTCCCCATTATTAAGAGACCTAATTTGGATTACTTACATATATTTTAGGAAGTTTCCACTGCACTAGATTTCCAGGTCATCCCTCCCTCAAATGTCCCTCAATTGCAGCTGTCTCTTCCTGCATTCTCTTCCTCTACAGTATCTCCTTTCTCTCTCCTCACCTGATAGTCCTATTCCCAGTCCAACTGTAAAACGTATTCTATTTCTCACTGCAGGGAGATTCATGTACCTTCCCGCAGATGCTTCCTCTATACCTACCCTCTCAAGGTCTATGAATTGTAGCTTTAATGGCGAATCAATCCCACACCAGTTATGTTGTAAAGGGGTATTTATTTGGGGGGGGGTAAAACTTACATACACCATAAACCGTCAGGAAAGGAGCCTAGTCACTGGAGCAGGAGCCGGGAGCAGGAGCCGGAACCAAGCACTGGAACCAAGAGGCCGAGCCGAGGCTTGCTGCTCTTCTTTTAAAGAGAAATATACCACACCCCAGTGGGCTGGTATTTCAGCAACTATTGGCTGACGGAGCAGAAGGTGCTCCCGCAGCACTATGGGCTCGTGCTTCAGAGACTATTGGCTGAAGCAGTGGATGGTACTCCTGCAAAACCTCCCCCTTTTGTTTAAGTAAGAGAGTTATAAGCCTACTACAAAATTATGTACAGTAAGTAGAAACCTACAAAATTATATACAATAAGTACAAATATCCTATTCTAACTAGTTAAAGTCTTATATAATAAATAACTTGGCCAAGTCATGAAAGGAAAGTAGCTACATTTATCTAGTCTTCGACCCCATAGAAGATACAAGAAGGGAAATAATGTTACCTGCGTAATTAGGAAGTGCAATCAAAGAACTTCCAAAGCATGCAACAAATCACAGAGACAACTGGCTACCTGGGCAATCACCAAATACCTGTTTGCAGCGTTGAAGCAACCAACTTTGGCTAAGGCCTAGAATAACTTACAGATTATTTTTAACAGGCAAGAGATTTTTCAAAACCATCTTACCCTGTCTTGGTAAGACTGGAAAGTTCTGCTTATCCATTTCCGGACACTGTGTATTTGTCAGTAGCTGAGGTATGGGCAGTTCCTTGCCCAGAGGCCAGTTTACTCAAGAAGACAAGCTCCAAGTGGAGTGTCTTTGGTGCTCAACAATCTCTCGGGAATAGGTCGGTGTTGCCAGGAGTGATTGTGTCTCACTACACAGAACTCTAAGATTAAATTAAATGCCATTTTCTACAGCTCTTCAAAGAGGTTGAAGACTATTTATACAGAATATAATCTTTATGTATCTAAAGAATCTGATTAGTCTAACGATAAATATGACAGACATAGATGACTATTGATCTACAATTCTTAACACATATCTAACTTAAAGACTAAGAGAATAAACAACTGTGCAATAAATGAGGACAATGACCTCCAAATGTAAACAATAAATATCAATAATAAACAATATATAAGTATCTTAATCAGAAGTAGAAATGTACACTGTAATATGGTATACATCTATTAATACAATATATATCAATACATAAAAAATGTTTTAAACAGGTAGAAGCATGCATACATACAATATTCAATATATGCTGATGTAATTATCTATAAACAATAACTCACAAATACCATTATCATCTATCCAATTATCCCTCTTTTTTTTCTTTCAAAAGATCCCTGAGCTTATAAAATTCCTTTCCCAACTCTCAACCATATACTAATTATAATCAATCCCTAAATATTGTTCCTAAACCTCAGGACAAACTTTGCTCAGAGAGGGGACATCGTCCTCTAGAATTACTTCCAGCTGTCATGGGGGTAAGGTTCTTTCTGGAGGATCCTGTGAAAGTAAAATGATGGTTAAATTTCAAGGTCAATGTCTTTTAAAATTGCAAACAGTCTCTGAGTATTTTGTGGAGGTCTGGCCAGAATGTTGTTCAAGATGTGCACCATTTCAGCTAACCAAGTTGGAATCATCTGTGCAGCTGATACCCGGAACAGGACTTGTAGTAGCACTATCAGTATCATGACGTCATATCAACCGAGTGGAGTTGTTGTTATGGGGGTCCGAACTTCTTCCTGGAAACTTCAAATGTCAGTGCATGAAAAACTCATTGTTCATAGTGGAAAACTTAAACATTAATCATATAGACATATACAAACATATATTCAATGAAAGGTATGATAGACATATTCAATGAAAAGTATGATAGATATGAAGAAAAGCAAATATGTTTTCTAAACTCATATTTCTTTCTGTCTCATATCATGGCTCTTGACATAAGACAGAAACTCCAGAAACTCTGGGTTTTTCTCCTAACAACAGGCTTGGAATTAGAGAGGGACCGAGCCAAGAGTCCAACTTAAAACCCAGCTCTATAAATTCAGAAATATGATTTAGTATATTCCAGAGCTTCATACTCACAGAACCTATTCAGTTTTCTTGATAATCCATATTGGGTAGTTATTTTTCCATTTGTCAGTATTCAAACATCCAGGGTCCTTTGAATTTTTCAAAAACGAGGGTTTTCCTGTGGAGATAAGAACAGAACCCTGCCCCCATTGTATGTTTTTCTTACCACCTGTATGGTCATCATCATTGTAGATGCTATCATTTCTCCTTTCCAAGAGGTTTCTTCTCTTCAGATCTAACCTTTATTAATTTTGATGGTATCCACAATTTTTCTTCTCCTGTGGAAACAAGAGCAAAACCCCTTCCCCAACGTAGCACATCTCCTGGCTTCCATTGAGAGGTCAGCACATCCTTGATATAAACCGGTTGATTTAGTTCAGCAGACTTTTCCATTATCCAATGTCTTTCTGCCGCTGTTGTTCCCTTCTCATTAGCGTTAAGAAAATTCAAGGTTAATAAGGCATTATGTAATCTATTTCTGGGGGCATTTTCCACCCCTTTCTGTTTATTTATCATATCCTATATA